GCATCGTGAGCTCATCGAACAACACAGTGGGTCAAGAGTCAGCATAACTATCATTTCATTAAACTGATTAATTAGGTGGGATAAAATAATAAACGTGTCTGTCCATAGTGGTAAATATCCACTTTGATTATATATATCCAGACACTCATATTTCCTTCAAGTGACCCAGGAGCCTTAAAATATGAACTGAAAGATATTTAGTTCTAACCCCTGACTTTTGTAATAGCAACTATAACAATAAATAAGTTTGTAAAGCGAAGTCACTTGGTTTTTAGTTACTTCATTACATGAGTCACCATGATCAGCTGCCAGTGAGTAAGGAAATGTGGGAAAGTTGTATTTCTTTTGGAAAGACACTTTTAGTGACATTGATAGTCTTCACACAAAGAATAACTCAGAAGAGAGATCGACAGTACTATTTCAAAGAGTTTACAACAACTTAGACCGGTCAGTATTAGGACCTGTTTTCTTGAAGAAACTCAGAAAAGTGTGCTTCATCTGAAAACGAACGTGAGGTATGTGAGATGGCAAACGACATTCGACAAGGCGAATATGATAGTTGATAGTGACAGATGCTTCACAGTGAAAACGAGATGTTTCTAAATTCAGTGGGGATAGATAAAAAACAATATAAAAAAGGATTCATGACTGCTTTTCAAAGCAGGTCAGTAAAATCTCATAAAGTTTAAACTACTCATTGATAAATTTATAGTTTTCATCTATTCGGAATAGATCCTGAAACAAAACTGGTGATTGTGACTGTACCTCCTATGACAAGTCGTCAGAGAATAAAGTTTTTAAAGTTCTGTGACTGTCGAGGGTTTCCTTGCTACTTTTCAATTCATGAATAATACCCATCCAGACATAAACGAAAACAAAAAGACGTATTTTCAGTAAATGGCCTGTTATAGACAACAGTCAAAGATCAGCATAAATGCGAGGAACCCGAAAGAAACAACCTCTTTTACCTACCTGGAAAGCATCGTCTCAACTACAGGCGAATTTGACGAGGATGTCAAAGCAAGAATCGGAAAAGCAAGACAAGCTTTCACTACTCTCAAGTCTGTGCGGAGGTCAACAGCACTATTCAGCATCAAAAATAACATCCGGATTTTCAACTCCAATGTGAAGTCAGTGCTACTATACGGATGGATCAGAGACTTGCACTGCGCGTCATGAAGATCATCGGAAACAAACTACAGACCTTCATTAACAGTTATCTTCGCTCAGTACTGAAGATCAGATTGCTGGCGAGAAAAGATTAGCAACAGAGATCTCTGAGAGCGAACCAACCAGGAACCGATTGTGAAACAAATAGGCAGGAAGAAATGGAGATCGATTGGCCAAACTCTGAAGAAACCATCAAGTGATATCACTTGACAAGCCATTGCTCGAGTGGAACTCGAAAGGGAAGCGGGGTGTTTGTCGTCAGTGCGAGGGTAACTTGGAGGAGGTCATGTGAAGAAGAGATGAAAGCGTGTGGGCAAACTTGGAGATAGGTGAAAACTCTAGCAGAGAATCGAATGCAATGGAGACGCACGGCTGAAGCCCTATGTTCCTCTAGGAATTAAAAGGAACAATAATATTATAATATAGGCGAATTCATTTTACAATTTAGCTTTACAGCTGCATTTATACACGGTCTCTTCCTCAAGAATGAGGGCAATAATAAAAGTGATGAGTTGTCACAATCATAGTTGTTAGTGTTAATATTGGTCAATTAGTAAGAGGGGATGAGTAAATGTATTACAGTTACGTAATAAGATGAATAATTTAAAGTGTGATTTGTGATCAGGGTTCACTTTGAAACGAAGGAAGATATGGAATTATGCGACAGTTCAAAAGACGTACAAGAGTTATGAGGAGTTAGACAAAAAGACAAGCAAAGAAAAATGAAATGAGCAGAAATCGACAAAGCTGTCACCACACTGGCAGGAGTGGTTGAATAATGTTCTTTAATATGTGTATCTCCGCTTTTTTCTAACTGAATGGCTAAAGCTTCAGCAATGTGAAGGAGATAAACGCGTATAGCTTCTCGTAATTGATTCTTCTCTTTGTCGATCACTCTAAATTTGGTGATTGTTGATATGGAACGACCAGTTTTAAGAAAAAGGCATGAAAATGAATCGTCGAAAAGAAAATTTTCTTCGCTGTTTGTGCCTTTTTCTTATGACTCAATATGGGAATATTTCGTTCATTGAAGAACTCCAACGACCAGTTTTGACAAGGTGTTCGATTATCGCACTCCTCATAGAGCTACTACTACTCATCGAATGACCAGTATACATGGCTTCTAAGGCTTAGATATGATGGAGAAGATTTGTAGCTCAGGTGGAGGGTTTTGATGTAGTTGTCTTCTCTGAGCTGGATGGTTTATTTGCGAAGCTTTCATTTACCTACTAGGCAACATCTTCAGCGCATACTTCAATTTGTTGAAGTGAGCTTTTAGATTTCCCCACGAGTTTATTAGTCACCTCTTCTGGTGGCCTTGTAGAAAAGAAATCTTACACACAAAAGGTTAAACTTCAGCTCAAGGAAACAATCAGTACCAATACAAGTAGACCAGAGGGTGTGAAAACACACAAAACAACAAATCACTATCAACATCATCAGGAGAGATGACTAATAAACTCTTGGAGAAATCGAAAACCTCACTTCAAATTGAAAAATGCGCTGAAGATGTTGCCTAGTAGGGCAATGAAATCTCAGATAAACCATTCAGTTTAGAGAACACAACTACATCAAAACGCATGACTCTACACGAACAGGTGAATTGATATTTGCACACAGGAATGGTCACATGTTAGATCTTGCTCTTAGGGTTCTATAGACCAATGGACGACTGGACAACACCATTCTTAACATTGCTGAGAAGAATGTTTTTCTTAGAGATGATAAAATTCTTCTCTTCAGGATATCAACAGTTGGCCTGGAAATTTGGGCTACCGATATCACATGCTGAAAATTCCATACTTGTACCAAAATTACGGTGTGGAATCAAGCTATTATCCAAAAAATGTATCGCAATTTAAGTTTCCCCTGAAATCCTGCTTTATGTTCTCTTTGGGAACAAGTAATATTTCTCTACTCCTAACTTTTAGTTTGATATTCTTGTCAATGAATCTTGATGGGTATTCACTACATAATATTATCGCAACATATTGTATTCTTTTCATTCATCTGAAGTAGTAGCGAGGACTTTCCACAAGGATGCTGAAATATCAGCCCTTAAGTCACCTAATTTCAAAAATTTCAAGGTTAGTATTAGTTGTGTGACCTAAAAACTTCCACTAAGAAACTGACCATAAAGACTAAGTGATGTATTTTTCTCTTCAACACAAAAAACATCCGGTATCACATACCGTTGCCGACAAGAAGTCGACACTCCTTCCTGTTGCCATAAGTATCTAGCTAGATTGCAGAAAATTCTATAGAAATGCTATATAACTTCACTGCTTAGGAAACGAGTTCTCTCTATATTTAGACAGCTACTTAAAAGCCAGTATGAATTAAGCACGGTGAGGAAACAACCACATCAATAAACAATCCTACAGTGTTTAAATACCTCTGAATTGAACTGTGAAATCTGTTGATCAATATAAGTGAATCTTAACTACTTACTTTTTTTTAGTATTATATCTCGTTCGTTTCATTTTTGAGTTTGATTAATTGATGTTCTCCATGTCTGGCCACCTTTATATGTATCTATCAGTTCACCTGCTCTTGTGGAGCAAGGTATATTGACCGTAGCCAGAGGACTCTTTCTACACGGATACGAGAACATATTCCAGCATGGCTTTACAAGGGAGAAAGGAAGTGTGTGAGAAGCTCTGTTCTGGAACAGCTGATCGACTCCTGTCACTCTGCCAACGCTGACCATGGTTTTAAGATCATCTACCGAATCCATGCTAACTTGCCACATTTTCTTTGTTACAGACTTATAAAGACAGCGGAGGCCATGGTAATTCATGACTTTAAGCCAGACCTTTGTGTACAAAAGAAGAATGTATAATCTCTACTTCTGCACTGACTGTAGAGGGATAGACATTTATTTATTTAGTTTATTTCGTTACTGTGTGTACCTTTCCCTTATTCATACGATTATTATTATTATTATTCTCACTCTCAATTGTTCCCGCTTGTTCCACTAGTCATTCTAAATCAAAAATTATTATTTTTTTGCTTTTACAGTATTGAATTCTATCGTATCAGATTTCACACCATGTTATGTAACATTTTATATTCGCCTACTAATCCTATAATAATGCACCCCTTTCCAACATCTATACACCTTATGTATTATTCTATATGTGACACTCATTGTTTTGCTACTTGACATTTAATAATGATTATAATCACAAATATTTTAATTGCATTTCATACCATTATTATTATTATTTCGTGTGTTCACACTTTTGATCTATTTCCCTCACCGGATATAATTTCTTAAAATCCATGTATATACGATTGTACAGCTTGATAATAAATTCGTTGAAAAGAGTCTTTTCGCTGAATATTGTGATCTTAGATATTATATTTCCCAAAGGTAACATGGAGGAGATCGTGCAAGGAGGAGGTGAGAGACTACGAGCAATCGTGAGTCTAGCCAAAAGAGGACAGCAGGAAATAAAGCAAAGTGGAGATGTTTTGTCGAAGGTCTATCTTCCAGTCGAAACCCAAGGGAACAATAATGATAATAATAAAAATATAGTTAACCTGACAGCACTAAGTGGACGGTTATATCATTCTAAGTATCTTATTTATCCTCTCAGCCATTCAGTTGTCAGACAGCTAGACTGTTACTGAAGTTTACAGTACTCAAAATTATTCTTACTGTCGCATTACAGTTTCTCAGTACAGCTTTCTCAGTTAACATACTGATAGTGAAACATTTTCTTCAAATGTAAACAGGTTGACCAATAAAAACCATCGCTCATCAAAATTATCCTCTGTCTTCTCATTGGTTTTCATTCAAAACAATTTTATATCCACTAAAGAAAATGCCCAATTTATGGCAGAAGCAAACAGTTTTTGACGCTGTCATGTCTCTGAACACAAGTAGATTATGGAAAATTATATGGATCAGTTTTATTTTAATTATTATAATTGAAGTGATCCTTCTCATTCATACATCTCATCATCTTAAACTGGTACGATGAATTTTTTTTCCAATTACATTGATATTATCTCTTGTGTCGTTAACTAGAATGCTTCATGGCAAGTTGAGTTACTTGGAAATATTTTGAATTCAACAATACAAACTGTAAGTTCACATTAGAATATATTTGTATGTTTCGATAAGTAAGTGTACTTCATAACTATTGCAGTTACTAGTGTCCAATCAAAATATCCACTAAAGTCCTACAGGAGGTCAACCGCGAGCCTTAATACCTCAGTGGTAACATCTCTGACTGCAACGCCTACTGGGTGACGCGGGTTCGAATCTCAGAAGAGACATGAGTTCCTTTGACGTTGCAGGTACGCCTTGCTGACTGTTGAGTGCCTATTAGCACGAAACTTAGGTCCAAGCATGGCTTCCTGCCGATTGCCTCCAACCATCTAATAGTGTTCATCATTAACAAAACTTTATGAATTACGCAATACAATTTTAGCTCCACAGAGATACACCCACTTGAGAACTTCTAGCCCAAGTAGACTTAAAAAAGATGGACAATTATCTCGTTTCTTACTCCAGGACAAAGGTTTGATTATCGTAAAAGATTTTCTCTGTGGTTTCCAAATTCTCAACACGACAGGGATACGCCACTTAGCTAAATTGTCCCGATAAACAACTACACATATGTTCCACACCATGAAGAGATTAATGTGAGCACAGAGAAGTGTGCAGGGAGCATGTATTTCTCAAATACTTTGGCTCCTGTTGAGATAGACTGAAACTCGGTAAATCAATCCCTTTTATCGGGAATTAACCTCAAATATAAGAAAACGGCAGAAAAGTCTGGTGGTAATAGGATGTAGTGGATATCTCCACACTATACTGACTTAAAATAGCCAAATAACATATAAAGCAGTGCGCTGGCGGCTCGATGCTAAATTATGTGGTGACCGTACACTTCTTCTGGATTTGATTCACAGCTGGAGTATTTCAAAACCTCACCTAGCTCTCTAGCCGGCAGTTCCCGGAAAAACCACGAAGGTTGGATGTGTGTCTAGAAATTCTACCCAGTAAAAACAACACTCCCACCAAGGTGCTGAAGCTCTTTATTCCACCCGGGACGCAAGGGAATATAAGAAAAATGTCAATTAAGTGTTAATTGTGAAACTAATTTGATGGAAATATCCTCAGTAAAAGTTGATTGAGTACTAGAAATGATTGAAGAAAGGCTAACCACCGATAAATTTGAAATTCACTAAGTGTTACCATAGAAATCTCAAAAGATAAAAAATAGAACCCACAATGGTAATCTTTTTTCATCATTTCCTTTTGGAGAATAGGTCTTCAAGCCTCAGGTTTGAAATTTCAGTAGGAGTGGTGTTTTTTATGAGGTGGGATTCCTAACCTGAAGGCAAAATTTCCCTTTTTATAGGGCTTACTATCGGTGAAGTGCACTGGCTTGGAGCCTACCCCACACCACATGCACGGTTGGCGAGTGTTCTCCCCCTGAACCAGTTGCATCAAGAACATGACACGCCATGTCTCAAGTATCCAAATGTTATTTCTTTAGCTACACTGTTAAGTCTTCTGTATGTTGTGTTTAAGATTACCACAGATAACAGAATGCATTAATTTCCTCATACTGGCAAGTACTCGACGTTTTCCTCAAATATGTAACAGTGATAACTTCAGTTCTTGAAATAAGACTGCGACTGTTTTCCTTACTTTATCTCATGGATATCCGTACATTAACAAAAGTCGTTTAAAGTAATCACTCACACAGTGTTATCAAAAAAGGAAAGCTACCGTGGTCTCCTCTAGTTTGAATTTGCGCGAAATTACATCCAGAAAAGAAAATTTTCACAAATGCTCTTCATAAATAACGCACTTACAGCTTCGTGAATGAAACTGTTGCCACTCAATCTTTAAACTGAAATTCAGGCACTCCCCCAGGTGAGCATGCTTAAATCATAGTGAGAAGTGCACTGGTTACTAAAATTCAAAAGTGGAATAGATGGATAGCCAGTTATCTGTTTTCGATACTGTTGTACCAAGTAGATAAGGCTTATTGGCATTAGATCGTCTTTCGTGCCTACACCTCGCTTCTCTTCACTCCAGTGTGTCTCGGTCAGTGTCACTGACAGGCATAAGTCAATGGTAAAGTCATCTTCAGAGCGTGTTTGTGGACACAAGGGCTTCGGGGCTATGCGAAATCGCTTCCAATAAACTCGATTCAACATCGAAATTCTTAATATCAATCGGATCAAAGCATCCTAGGAACTAGAGTGTCATTCACTGTGCTCTTAATATGTCCTGAGTTCACATTACTCCCTAAGATTCAGGTATGGTCAGCCAAAAACTTTCGAGTAAAATGGGAGGTTAGCCGTCTGTCTGGCCAAACGAAACTTTTAAATTGGCGTTGCTTTACTCATTTTCAAGCTTTTATGAAACGACAACGTAAAATTTGGCCATAAAATATCTCTTCATTCTCCTCATGCTACTAAATTTAAAAATAAGTAGTATGTTTTATTTTCGATAAATTTCTAAACGGAGGCATTAAGTATAAAATTTGTGTTTACACAGTTCCATTAGTGTCCACAGGTAATTAACTCAACCATGAGCAATTTTTTAAATAACCCTTACAATAAGACTATTCCTGTGATGCGATAATAGTCACGCATGTGTTAACTTGCCTCGATTGGATAATTACAGAAAAAATTGAAGGCCTGTACAATACTGTCTTTAGAACTATCACTATCTTTCGGTAGTTCTTCCCATTTCAAAAATACCCTTTGCGCATCAAGTGTAATAAGGCGAGTGACAAATGCGAGGTGAATTTATCTGAAAACTTAGGGTGAACAAAGAAGGTGTATAAGTCTCAGTTTCCCCTCACTGAAAACTGTTACCAAAAACCTAAGTCACATCCAAAACGCCATTCTAATTTTCTATAGTTTGGTTTGTAAGGGTTAGTTATGTTTTTACGAGTTGATCACGGACTGATATCAGTTAGAGAACCATCGAAAACCAGGGAGTACTGGACAGCTGCTGTTTCATCCTAGTTTGGGAATCATCGACAGTACGCACCCACCACAAGGGTTCGAACCCAGGACCTTCCGGTTACAAGGCAAGCTAGCTCGCATGCCATTCAGCCACCACTGGGACCCAATCCAGTGGTCCTTGAATTATAACTTCTACCAATTCGTGATTTAGCGCGACCCCAACCATTATCGTTGGTGGGACATCCACCCACACATGTGACATCTAATTGGACCTCACTGGTCATGACTTCTCACTGGAACTCCAGGAAACTCCATCCTGTAGCAAGTCACTAGTGAGCATGAGATTAATTTTCTATAGTTTGGTTTGTAAGTGTTGGTTATGTTTTTTTTCGAAATACTTATTCATAGGCGTGTTCCACAGGAGTTTTATACTACGTGAATTAATTTTCAGACTGAATAACCGATAAATGAAATCCGTTTCAAAATGAACACTATGGCATATTAATAATGAATAAGTTTCAGTGACTGGGATGTTCACAAGACATAAGTAAAGACCCAGTGATTTGGGTAGTAGTACATAGGAACACACCTGCAATGAATAAAAATATCTATAACCGTATCATGCTCTTCATAATTTACTAATCACTAGACTCGTATAAACTATTCAACTTAAAGTTTACCAAAAAGGCATATGATCATCACTGTCACCATAGAAAAAAGCCTGAATTTCAAATTTCCGGCAATGCAAAATAAGTGAAGTGACTCACCAAGGTAAGACATAATATTGGTCTTTCAGGGAAGAGGCTCTTTAAGCCGAGTTTATCTTCCACTTTGGATGCACTATTGCATTTATATACAACCGCTTTTTCATGAAACAGGGTAATAACAAAAGTGATGAGTGGTCACAATCATAGTTGACAGTGTTAATATTAGTCAGGGCATAAAAGGGAAAGAATTAGAGTGTTAGAATTACACTATAAGATGAATAATTCAATGAATGAGTTGTGATCACGATGCATATAGGAACGAAATTTCCAAAGAAATATATGAGTTATGAGGAGTTTTAAAAATGGGCAAACAAAAATAATGTGAGTAGAAATCAACAGAGTTGTTACCATGATAGCAGGATTGGTTGAATAACGTTCTTTTGTGTGCATAACTTTGCGTAAAGCCGGATTTCAAGGGAAACTTAACTTTCGATATCCCTGGGAGAAGAATTTCATCATCTTCTCAGCAACTCTATGAGTGGTATTCTCCGGTCATCTATTAGTCTTCAGAAACCCTCAGGACAAAATCTAGCATATGACCACTTCTGTGTGCATATATCAATTCACCTGTCCCTATTGAGTCACGTGTGTTGGTCTTCTGACGAGTATCCTCTCTAAAAGTGTTCAAGAACACCAACCGTCATGGTCGCAGAAAGGCAGTGGTAGTTCTTTGAGGAGTGCGATAATCAAACAGCTTGTCGAAATTGGTCATTCCATCTCAACAAATACCGCTTACTATAAAGTAATCGTTAAAATAGTGAATAACCTGTCAAGAGCAATACACTTTCGTCTCCTTTGCACTGCTGAAGCTGTAGCACATAGAAAAACCGTAGCTCTGCACACAAAACAATATTATTCAATCATTCCTACCATCATGGTAACAACTCGGTTGATTAGCTGCAAATGAAAGGTATATAATCCATTGTTCTCACTTTACTTGTTATCTCTACATATAGAAACAAGCTGCCCAACAAAACTCTGCTAGGTGGATTTACTAGAAATGAATAACTCCAATAAAATTTGATCACCTAGACTTATACTGATTCGCTAATGTTATTTTCCCATTTTCAGGAATCGTACCATTCTCAAATCAGTGATAATACCTCAGAGTTCATTGAAGAGAAAGACATGATCATGGATTTATTTGAAGATATTGAAATATCAGTTTTGTGTGATATTTTTCATGGTAAGCATCCACTTGCACTGTACAAATCCTTTAAATAACATGTACAATTTCTGATCTTGTCAACTATAAACGTGGTCCGGGTTCGATAGCCAGCCGACACACTCTTAAATCTCTCCTAGCCAGTACTAAGCCTGGTAAAGAGAGACGGTTGATTGTTAGGCTGCCCAACCTCACTCCATAAAGAAATAGCACTGCTACTGGAACTTCAGAGCTCAAGCATGAAGCCCTGAGTTTCCCTCAGAACTCAAAGAAATGAAAGATATTGTCTTTGAAACATGTCAAGTGAATAAATGAGAGACTAGGAAGAAGAAGAAGAAGAAGAACAGGTTAATTAAGTTAGCAAATTAGACTCGAAAACGTGAAAACAAAGAAGCCAAAGAACAGTAAGCAGTTAGACGATTCTCACTCCAGCACTCAGTGCATTTCTTCCATTGTTGCAGAGTAGTTGTTCCCTCAGTTTGGTACTTGATACTGGGGAGATTCTATCAAAAGAAATCCAGATTTGTCGATATCAGACGGCTGGAGGCAGTCGGCAGGAAGCCATGCTTGGACGTGGGTTCCGTGCTAGTTGGCACACACACAAGTCACTAAGGCATATCAGAAACCTTGAAAGAATTCATGTCTACTCTGGGATTCGAACCCGTGTCATCCAGTGAGCTTTGCAGTCAGAGACGTTACCAGTCACTGAGCTGTTTGGGCTCGCAATTGACCTCCTTTAGGACTGCATTGGCTACTTTAATTGGACACTAGTCAGTAACCAGTCTAGTGTGTCTAGTCTTTTGTTTGGTGCGGATGGAAGGAACATGAGTTAACTCGAGGTTATAGATACGCCTTACTGACTGGTGAGTGCCAACTAGCACGAAACCTAGTTCCAAGCATGGCTTCCTGCCGATTGCCTCCAACAACATATTATCGACAGTTCAAAGTGCACCATGATAGCGAGCCACCTAGAACGCTGGCAACATTGCAAGCTTGACTGAAAGAATTCAGTCAGCACCAAACATAGGATCAGACACACTACACTAGTCACTGACAAGTGTCCAGTCAAAGAATCCAGGTTTATTGTCAAAAGCGCTTGAGTTAGAATAGGTGGTACTAGGTCTGTGATTTTAAACAAATAATGACAAAACACTTTGAGCACAGAATACTTTTCGCATCAACAAGATATCTGATAAACGTAAATACTGAAGTTGCTAGCAGGCCATTTAAATTCATTTTTGTGTGACAACCCAGAATATATTTGTGCTTCACACAAACCAGAACAAACGTACTTAGGTTTATTTTACTCATCACATCATTTATTTATATCTGATTGCTGATAACCTTCTAACATCTAATATCGGAGCGATGTCGATAATAGTCCCATATCGCTTAGATTAATAGCTGTAGTTACAAGCAGTTAACAGCATGAAAGAGAATTTTACTACCTCAAAATTTAAATGAGTTTTACTTTATTTCAATAATCTTTTCAGATGTCAACGCTTCGAATAAAATAAATCCACCCAACATCACTCTGTCCGAAGAAACCCTTTATGCCCGCGTCCGTCTACGTATTGAACAAGGTGAATGTACAAATCAAACTGTTTTTACAAAGTGAGAATAATTTTTGAAAAAGTGTGGAATTTGTTTTCAATATGGTGTAAATAAGTACTGAAGAAGTAAGCTTAACTATAATATAAGGTGAAAAGGAATGCAAATAGCACTAATTCAAATCATGATACATCGACTATAACCAAAATTATTAATTACTCCTTGTCCTTTTCTACTATGCTACTTGATTTATTCCACCTGAAATCTAGTCACTAGTTTTATTGCATGGAGGATTTCATCATGAGATGACATCAGTTAGAGAGCAATTGGAAAACCAGATGGGAGTACTGGACAGCTGTTTCGTCCTAGTTTGGGTCTCTTCATCAGTACGCACCCACCGGGGTTCGAACCCAGGACCTTCTGCTTACAAGGTTAGCGAGCTCGTAGACCACTGAGCCACTGGGACCCGATCCAAAGGTCTTTGAATTCTAACTTCCGCCAGTTCACTACATAGGGCGACCATTTCGCAATGTCGTCTTCGGTGAGTTACTGCCTCATCTTCAACCTGCTGTACCCCACTAGTCACTAGTTTTATTCCTGAAAACAGGATAGAACGTTTAGCGTTCACACAAAAGGCTGAAATTATTCTTTTGGGCAGACTGTGCGTATATAAATCAATAAGTAAATATACGAACACCAAACTTTGAACCAATAGCTTTTAGGCTTCCAAACCCAATTACTAATGCCAGTATTATCGAAGCCAATAATTTAGGTTGGAATGACGAATCCCTCAAAAATACACTGAACTTATTAGTTTCATGAGATAGAATTTGATGACTCCATTATAGATAAGATTTTATTTTTGTAAATCACACGGTGTTATGCAGTAATATTAACTGATGACCACGTTTCGAGCACAAATTATTGCTGCTCATAATCATATCAAGTTACTCAAACAACTTTTTCCTTCATTTATATACATGAGTGGAATTGATGATTAGATATTTGAATAAAAATCAATACGGGATAATGTACATTTAGAAATAATAATATGACTGTTATTGATCAAATACAATCAGATGGGAAATAAGACGAGTGTTTTTTATAGTCAAAATAAGTAACTTGTTAGAATGTTATGATGTATGTGAATTGAATTAGAATTTTAAGATTAGTTATTATCCTCCTGTGATTTGGCTGGCAGTAATAATATCTTCCACTCATCTCTCTGGTATTTGCGTTGAGTCACTTCTGTTGCATGTGTTGGGTGTAGACTCGATGAACCAGGCAGGATTCAGTAATCAATCTCTCTCTCCACCTACATAGATTACTTCTTAGAATTTTAACCCTATCCCACCCTATTGTGTGGTTGTGTGTTAATGCATGCAGTGCTGAATATTTTTCTAAGTTACTTATGTTCTCGGGGTCAGCCATTCTAACTTTAGCTAAATTCTTATGTTCTGACAGGCAGTCGCACTACCCCTGATCTACTGGTTTGACTGACCTATGTAGTTGACTTAACTCAGTCATTGCAAGGTATTTTGTAAATTATATTGTTTTGTTTAATTGGTTCCACCGGGTCTTCTAGCCTACAAAGCTTGTCTTCGAGTGAGTTTGTAGGTTTGAATACCACCTTAATCGCTGCTTTCTTAAGAATCCTACTTGGGGAGAGTCTCAGATATCCCCTCCTTATATGGTATAACAGTAGATGCCTTATGTTCTCCTTTATTTATCTTATCATTATTAGCTTCACCATTATTTTTATTTCGCTTTTGACCTTTCCCGATCTTCCTAATGAATAGGATAGTTATTGGACACCATGTCATTTCATCGTTTAGGTCTTTTCGGTGCCACTTAGTACTACTGCTCGGTTTGTCAGACGCTTAACTAGGCTTGCTTTTTAGAGATTATGGATGAGATGATTTAAAGCCTAAATATCTATTAGGAGAATGCGTTGGCTTTTTATAAACGCTAGTGTGTAGTTTACCTTCTTCCCTTCGTTTTATTTTACAATCTAAAATGATAGCCAATTCTCCTTGTTCAAATGTGAATTTTATTCCCTTTACTAGTGGGTTTATATGTGTTAAGAAGCTCGAAACGTGGTCATCAGTTAATATTACTGCACAACACTCGGTGACTTTATCAAAATAAAATCTGATCTGTAATGGAGTTATACTTTATCACCACAGTGCCCAAGTTTTATGCTTATATCAATAGAAGTTGATAACACCGTCAAATATGCAGCTTACCTTCACATCTACTTCAGTGGTTTGATGAAGCAGTCAACATGATGTCCTATGATCCGGTAAAGATCACCAGTATGTTGTATGACTGACGGTTAGTGAATTGGCATGCACATGAATGTAGAAACACTGAGAGGTAACTAATCTGACTATATTTCACTCACCATTTAGACATTTATCAAATAAACATGATACGTTTTGGCCGTATTTATGCATCTAAATAGAGTGAAAGCTTAATACTAAATCACACATCCCTAATTTGTTGTTTGGGGTGTATTATAATGTCTGATATCTTGAAGAATCAGACTGTAACATTGAAAAAGTGTATGTTCAGCGCTGGGTTTTCTTCACTCGTAGGTTCCTTCTCACTGATTTAAGGATGTACTCAGCTTTAACATCTGATAGACAATAACAGGAAGAAATAATGCACTAAAGACTTCCTACATACCAATTGTATTGTCCTCATATAAGTCATTGTAACGGCAGAACACAGAGATATTTAGTAAAGGGATTGTTTATTCAGAAAACCAGATACACTGGTGGCAAAATGCAAAAATCTTACATCGAAATCTCATATGCACAAATTCTTCATATAGTACCGCTTCTTCCCTACTCATTTCCCGTTTTCCAAATTGTTTCACAAGGGTCTTCTTTTGTAGAAGACATCATACACAATTTAATACTTACAGAATCTCATTGTAACAACAGAAGACAAGGGCCAGGCAACAGAACGTTTATTACGGAAAATCAACACGTATTTATAGATTTTGATGTCCATTATTGTAGGTTAATGTTAGTAGAAAATACAGTCTGTTGATTGTTTGTTTCTCACACAAAGTTAACTTAGCATCTCTTGTGGCTGTGTCAGTTCATCTATATGTTAACTGTATCCGCCTGTCCATCTTGACCTTGTTTTCACATGACTAACATTGACTTCAATTACTGTCAACCAATTTGGCTAGCAATCGTCTCTTACCACACTCATCCCCCCGTCAAAGACTTGCGACTGAAGTTGGTTCGGTCTTCTCGGTTCTTGGGGCTTTGCTCTTTTGTCTTGCTGTCTGGAACCTTGGCGCTTGCGGATGTTCACTTGTTTCTCTGTATTTACCATTGCGATTGTGTCTGCGTAACCCCATCTCAACGTGACAATATATGGTCCTTCCCACTTTGGTAACTGTTTGCCTGACCCTGTCGCACATTCGTAGGTATTTCGCCTCACACTTCCATATGCTGCTTTCTCCTGACCTCCCAGCAGCGTCCCAAGTAGCAGCCTCATCGCTGACAGATCTTGAACGCCACTCAACTGCGAAGAAGCCTCAAAGTCCTGCGCGAAGATCCATATGTCTCCATCAAAAACTGCAGGGCATAGGCTTTCCATTTGTCGGTAGGCAGCGACACCAAATGTAACAACAGAAGACAAGGGCAAGGCAACAGAACGTTTATTACGGAAAATCAACACATATTTATAGATTTTGATGTACATTATTGTAGGTTAATGTTAGTAGAAAATACAGTCTGTTGATTGGTTGTTTCTTACACAAAGTTAACCTTGTATCTCTTGTGGCTGTGTCAGTTCACCTATATGTTAACTGTATCCTCCTGTACACATAAGTCTGCAGAACTGTCAGTCACACAAAGAGTGGTAATTTATAACCCCTTGTGCAATCTCCCTTCATCTATGATGAAGTGATTTCCATATTAACAGATCAACTGTATAGTTCACTTCACTACATTTACTCCATTGAAGTAAGTTACGTTTAAGTACTATAAATAGTAGTCGAGAAGAAGAAGGTTTTCGATTTAATCTCCATGAGGCTTGATGCTTCTCAGCAAGGACACATTTGTGAACTTGAGGAATAGTATGAATATCCTTCATTTAGTACTGAGGATGTATTAGTCATATCACTCAAAACACCTGGTCAACTGGAGTACACCGTTTAACTCCGTAAAAAGGGTTTGGTGAAGTGTGAGCGGTCTCTGAATAACGCATGATCGAACTTCAGGGGAAAGCATCAATTTCATCAAAACTTCATATATGCCCTATGATCGATGATAAAAACTTGAGTGTCATGGTGTTAAAACTTTTAAAACTACATTTATATATGTTATTACGAGTTGATCACGGAGTGATATCAGTTAGAGAACCATTGAAAACCAGCTGGGGCTACTGGACAGCTGTTTCATCCTAGTTTGGAAATCATCGACAGTACGCACCCACTGCCAGGGTTCCAACCCATGACCTTCCGGTTACAAGGTAAGTCCTTATCTCATTCAGCCGCCACACGGAGCCGACTCAATGGCCAGCTCATGAATTCTAACTTCTACCAATTCATGATTTGGTAGAAGTATGAAATGCAACCGAAACCTTTGTGATTATAATCATGGCTAAATATCAAGTGGCGAAACAAATCATGCCATGCATAGAATAGTTCATAGGATACATAAATGTTGGAATGGGATGTAAAATTACATGATCAGTAGGCTAATCTAACACGTTACATAACATGGTGTGAAATTTGATAAGATGAAATTTAACATTCCCAAAAAACCTTTTGCTTTAGAATAACAAGTGGGATAAGTGAAATAATATCGGAAAAAATTCAGAGTGAGAATAATAATAATATTCGACATAATACGGGAAGCATATGCAAATTGAATACACCAAACGAAAAAATAAGTAGAACCGAATTACGAATCGGGGGTTATCGTACTTTGGCATACAAGGATTATGACCATAACAGCTGGATGAGTTGAACAAACTTCCTCTGCATACACAGATGTGGCTTACCTCTTTCGATGGTCATAGCTTCAGTGTCAGATTCG